TTGGTTAGACTGCCAAGTTTATTCTTCGTGAGTATCAGCAAAGATTTATTGTGGATACTGAAGCGATTCAGCATTTGCTGCCCACCTTCTTTGCCTAGAATGACAAAGAAGGCAAGCACCTTTTGTTTATTTTTCACAAGCACTTTGTCACTTTGCTTGTGCCGTCTCTCTGGTCACTTCCGTTTTCTAATTCTTTTTCCTCTCAAATAAGGGAAATTGACACAGCAGAGGAAATTACAAGATGAGAGAAAAAAGAAGATTATGGCCCTTCTACAAAACGACAACACTATGTTGAAGGTGATACATTATGTAAACAAGTTTTCACCTGCAACTTTGACCTTTTTTAGAGGAGAAATAAGTATGTGTAGTCATTTGGTAATCCAATGGTCTGCCTCGGAAGAAGGGTCGAAGATTTCACAGCAACTCAAAAAGCGTATTGAGGTGACAGAAAGATATCCTGAAATTGAACTAGCATATTTGATTGGATGGCCGTCCTGCAGAAGTTCAAGCCTCCAGTCAGAGCCCCTTTCCATGTTGTTCCAAACAGATTATTTGATACAGTAACAAGCAACTATAGCAAAAGGATAGATGTTGTATTCGATGTATATCAAGAACAATCTATTAAGAATGTGGAGAGGTCAGAAANTGTCTATCAGTGCTCTGTCTTAAAAGTTCTATAACATAAGGTATCTTTCCTTCAGCTTTGAGAAGAAATATTCGTAAAAAAGCTCATTTAGATCAAAATTTACTTCCTACTTGCATGTCTTCACTAGATGCTGCCCAGCCATAAGTTTTCAATGTTCTCTGTGTTTATAGATTTGGAACTGGAAGTGGCCAAAAGAAGATTCATGCCTCAGCTTCTGAGGGTGTAAAGGTTTGGCAGAGGCCATCAGAGGATTTGGTTAGACTGCCAAGTTTATTCTTCGTGAGTATCAGCAAAGATTTATTGTGGATACTGAAGCGATTCAGCATTTGCTGCCCACCTTCTTTGCCTAGAATGACAAAGAAGGCAAGCACCTTTTGTTTATTTTTCACAAGCACTTTGTCACTTTGCTTGTGCCGTCTCTCTGGTCACTTCCGTTTTCTAATTCTTTTTCCTCTCAAATAAGGGAAATTGACACAGCAGAGGAAATTACAAGATGAGAGAAAAAAGAAGATTATGGCCCTTCTACAAAACGACAACACCATGTTGAAGGTGATACATTATGTAAACAAGTTTTCACCTGCAACTTTGACCTTTTTTAGAGGAGGAATAAGTATGTGTAGTCATTTGGTAATCCTCTGGTCTGCCTCGAAAGAAGGGTCGAAGATTTCACAGCAACTCAAAAGGCGTATTGAGGTGACAGAAAGATATCCTGAAATTGAACTAGCATATTTGATTGGATAGCCGTCCTGCAGAAGTTCAAGCCTCCAGTCAGAGCCACTTTCCATGTTGTTCCAAACAGATTATTTGATACAGTAACAAGCAACTATAGCAAAAGGATAGATGTTGTATTCGATGTATATCAAGAACAATCTATTAAGAATGTGGAGAGGTCAGAAAGGGCTTCCGAATCTGATAGAATCAAGTACAAGAACATTCTGCCTGGTTACAAGGTTAAGTCATGGAGCAAACTGTCGAGTGCTGCCTCAAACAAGGTTGAGATTGTGAAGTTGCTTGTGTCTCAGTGGGAAAAGGAAGAGTTCAGGGGCAAGCTTGGTGACAGAACATTGTATGTTACTATTCAGGATGAATGCTAGAAGTTAGACTCCACCATGTCTGAGCCGGTTCCTGAATTGAAGTGCAGTCACAAAGAAGCTGACACATGCATGATCCTCCATGCACAGCATGCTGGCAGTACGTGATAGTTATTCCAAGGATACAGGTGTCCAAATCCTGCTTCTTAGCCATGGTCAAGCCCTTGGAAAGTGTTACATAAAGAAAGACAGAAGCATGAAGACTAGCATAATTGAACTGTCCATTGTGGCAGAGAGTCTTTTCAAGCAGCTAAGTCCGGGCATATCAGAGTACATGCATTGACAGGATGTGAGACAGTATCCGCATCTTCTGGAAAGGGAAAGTGGAACGCAATCCAACTACTTCTCAAGAATGAAAGTTGTGTGAAAGCAATGGTGGAAATAGGAGAGACATGGAGTGTATCCAATGCAACATTTAATGCTGCTGAAGCTCTAGTATGTCACCTGTAAAGGCCAGAATGTGGATCTGTTACACTATGAGCTGTTCTGTGCAAAGGGAAGAAAAGTAGATCCAGAAGCACTGCCATGTAGGACGTCGCTGCGTCTACACATGAAGTGTGCCAATTATCAAGCAGTTATCTGGAGAACAGCTGTGATTCCGCATCCAGATGTTCCCTCTCCTCACGGGCACAGCTGAAAAGTATGCAGTACATCGAAGCTAGTGGAATTTGTCTGGCTTGGAAGTAAGCCTGCTCCAGAAGAAGTCCTCGAACTAATGTCTTGCACATGCAAAAGAGTTTGCTCTGTGGAAACATGCTCTTGTTTGAGAGCTGGACTCAAATGCACTGACATGTGTACTTTGCAATGTGAGAACATGGTGTTAGATAACGTTCTTGAGAATGAAAATCCAGATGGAAGTGATGACAAAGATGCTGATGATTGACTACATTAATCACAGCTTAAATCAGCCAGTAAAGGTTTCGAAACATTTATGTTTTGCTTATTCATGTTAACCTCTGAATACTTCGGTGACTTCAGTTCCCACTTTCTTTCCAGTTCTAATCCTGTCTGTCTGAAACATAAGGATGCTAATCTGCATAGTCTAGAACCATGACAACTCATAAAGTGATCAAACAAACGAAAGAATTTGTAAGTATTGTGCTTTAAAAACCTCACTTGTAAATTAAAACTAAATAGAAAGTGGAGTAAAAAAGTTTTATTGAAAGGTCATCCTGCCTGTGGACAAGAAAAGTAAGGAAAACTAAAAAATTTTGCATAAGCTCTGAAAAAATGACGTCATTCATGATGTCATATCGTTATTGTTCCAATAATGACAAGAACATGAAATATACATATGGATTCCCTTAAATACATCCTTCATTAATGTTTTAACCTGCTTTGGGTATAATTTTATGAACCTGCATACTCTACAAGAAAATCTCATTTAACACAAAATGGCAGCTATTGGTTGAGTTGAATGAGCACATTTCAAACATGACTTTTAGAATGAAGGCTACCGTTATTGTGTGATGCATTATATATATACTTAGTATTTTAACCAGTTGTAAATAATTAATGTCTTAATTTTTTTTATTATCAGGAGATAAACTAGAAAGGGATAACCTCTTTTATCTCCTTTTCACTTTCCTGTGGATTTGTGAATAAACAGTCATTATTTTATTATTATTTATTTTAGGTAAGTAGAGCCTTAGTCGTTCAATTTCTTTGATATACTTATCAATACAAGTTTAAGGAAGTACGTCAAGGAACCAGAATAGCGAACTTCACCAATCGACATCCTTTATAACACAAGTTTCACCAACAGGCAAAAGTAAAAAACACAAAGGATGCAAATGGCCTATGAGATCCTGGAGGGGAGGATATCATGAGTATAAATTCCTTTAATGTTGAGCAGGGCACAAGGACATAGTACAATCTATTGGTATGTAAAGTCGAAATGGCATTATTTGTTTACATGTACATTATAAATCAACATGTCACGATATAACGTAACAAGCTCAAATCTTATGTTACAGCTTTACGAGTCTTGCACAATTTGGAAACACAGTACTGTTTTGCCCACAGGGTGATGCAAGGTATACAGCTACATGCAGTGTGCAGAGATCAGTGATAACCTTAGCCAATGCAATACCTCAATGATTAGTAGATTTAAATTTTGAATTTCTTACCATGGAAAACTGACTCATACTGAATTTGCTGCAATGACAGTAAAACCCAAAGAAAGCTACCAGCAGGGTGCAAAGATGAAGCTCAGACATCGCTCAAAATTAAAGATCAGAAATGACAAATTGTAGCAAGGGAAAAGCTGTGGGCATAGGAAAAATAGTACATCAGTAATAGCAGAAAGGCTGAAGGGTGCATATGTACGTCTGTGTGTTGGTCCTTGAACGTAAGCACCATGTGGCTGAATTGTTTGATTTATCTTTATTTTCATGGTTTTAGAAACCACAACCCTACACTTCATCCACATCTTCTGACTTTAAACCTGCCAAGTTATCAAATCTGGTGAGCAGTTGCTTGTTTAAAGTGGCATGCACAGAGATACATTAATGTACATCAATTTTTGTTAATAGTTGAAGAAAAGGAAACTATTCGAGAGTATCAGAAAAGACATGAAGAAACACGAAGTTCCCCAACAATCTAAAAGGCTGTGCATGCCCACGGAACGTACAGACAATACTGCTTTCAGCTCTGATGATGGGGATCATGAAGATCAAGCAGTAATTAATCTCGTTCTTGAAGATAAAAAAGGAGAACAGTCGATGGAGTATCACTTAAGGTAACCCCCCAGACGGTGGAAGAGAGGGTGAAGGCCATGAAAGATTATCTTCTGGAAATGGCAGGCATCCCACCATCAGAGGATACACCCCTTCCTAACTTGGAGTGCCACCAAGCATGCTTTTTACTTGGGGGCTACCATAAGCATTACAAGAATCTGGAAACCTACAATTTGGGTGCTAACACATTTTCCTATTACATCTTCCCTGATGTGATGCATCGCTGGGAAAACCTTTTCAAGGCCAAAAAAGAAGGAAAAGGTTTTATCCCACTTATGGCATCTATGGATACTTTTTTGAAATACGACTTGTCGGAATGTATTCTGGACCAATGCTATTATGTGAATACTGCTCTCGTTTTTGAGGTAGTAAAGAAAATCATTATGGACTTAAAAAACTGCTCGTACAAGATGGCAACAGGATCAGTCTGAGGATAAATGTGCCAACCAAGACACCCTATGGTATGGAATGGGATTCTCTCATTGAAGAAAAGAAACAGAGAAGGAAGCTTGCCCTGGCTCACTTACAATCATAAACAGCCAACACCCACAAAGTGTTACGTACCTGGAATTAATGTTATGCGTGTTCCATGATTGTAATCAGAAGTTACTTTGACTTGACGTTTTCTTTCCATTAATTTTTATTCTTACCTGGACTAAGAGGACAGTAAGCTTTAAGATGATACCAAGTTCATGTCAGTTGAAAAGTCACATGACGAGCTATTCACTTCCAGAAAAGCAGTACAAGTGCGTATGTTATTAAAGCACAATGTTTATGTGAACATTTTTGATAGTAATTGCATTGAGATGGGTGCAGAAGCCATTGAGATGGACTAATGAGACAGTAGGTGTTAAAATGATAACAAGTTGGTGTCAGTTGAAAAGTCAAGTGACAAGTTATTCACTTCTGAACAAAGGATATGCATGGCATCTTTTTCAAGTTTGTGTGAGTGTTTGGTGCAAATCAATGGCTTTGACAGCTAGAAAATGTCTTTGAACAGTTGGTAAGGACATTTAACTGATTTTATGCAGTAATCTCTTCTGCCGACTTTTCATTCAAATTTACAGACAGTTTCAGCCAGTTGGATTAGCAGATGATGAATTGGCTGGAGGTGAATTGGCAGACAATTTCAGTTCGGCTGAACTTTTGTCTTGGGACTTCCATAACATAGTAGCCAGGTATTACATCAGACTATGAAAAACTAGTTTCCAGGCTCTTCGCCTAGAGTACCATAAATCCTTGAATTACAGCATACCTGGAATAAGTGCCCCCTTCAGATAAGACCCCTCTTATCAGCCAAAATTTAAAATAATCACCCCCTCAAATAAGTGCCCCCTCCCCTCCCCTCCCCTAATCTTGTGGACGAGTAATGAGACAACAAAGAATGTATAGTTTTTGTCGTGTAGTATGAGATTTGTACATTTTTTCAATTTGTGAACACATAAAGTTTGGAAAAAAGTTACAAGTACTAACAGTACCGCGATTTAAACTTTATGCACAGATGATGTATTAAAAATGATCATGTCAGGCCATGATTTGGGAAAAATTTAATAAGCGCCCCCCCTTCCACTCAATTAAGCGCCACCCTTGAATATGTGCCCCCGTCTACTCCAAATTTTGAAATAAGTGCCCTGGGCACTAATTTGACGATTTATGGAAGGTCAGAACACCTGGACATTAAAAATTTGTCACAAACAAAACAGCATGCTTTTGTCGCTGTTTTAGGAGAAAAACTACCTCAAAATAATCAATCTCTTCAAACGCTTCCCTTGACATCAACAAATATGCTTCCTTTGAACGTTTCGTTTTGCATCAATGAATGTACTCAACAAACAGTCAAAGCGGAGCGCTCAAAGTAGAGGTCACAGATTCAAGTCTGTCCATCATAACAATCATAGACTTTCTATGCAGTGGAGCCTGGGAACTGCTAACAAACAGATAACCTGAAGTCAAGATATCAGGACAAAAACAGGAGGCTGCCCTAAGTGTGCAACAGATAGTTTTTTAGTACCAGATAGTTTTTTAGTACCAAAGTACTCCTGCAGGTTTCATTTAATGTAAACCCAGATAGGGATGTCATCAGAATCATTGTCAGTCAGCTCCTTTGGTTCACAGTTAAGGAGTTAGAGTTCAACAATTAGAGTTCAACAATATAATTGCAAAACCAATCCATTATTTAGTTTTATTCCTGTTGACCATGTGATGACTGATACACTCTACTTGCTTTTTGAGAATTTCTGATAGTCTAATTTAACTTCTTACCAGGGAACTTTGCAAAAAGGCACCATTGGCAAGGTATCTTCTTTTTCGAATGGGTTTTGTCAACACAGGTTTAAGCACATGGCTCTGTATGGAAAATTTGAGAAAGATTGTGGAAATGGTGGCTTTGAATTGAAAATTAATAAGGACATCAAGAAGTTGGAGTACCAGGATCTTACAGGACCTGAAAAAATCATGCTTTTTCAACACAAATTTCCTGGTACAACATAACTAAAATTTCCATCTTAATTTATGATCCTTTCATTCCTCTTCCTGCCAATATAAAAATACAAGTTTCATTAGAGCAGACTTCATAAACAAATTTGTTCCTCTGATAGCTTTTTGATGTAATCCTTCCACGACTTCCACTGAAAACATCTCCATAATTTGGAATTTCAATACATACTTTTCAATCCTCTCTGCCCACAGAGTACAACTTCATTGTATCACTGGCACATTATTTTCATTGCATGGCCTCCATTCACTGAATTTCTCACTCTGCTCTTTGAAATAAATTTTGAACATGTTTCTCACTTTATCTACCCAGCTATCTCCAGTAGATGATTTTGCTCTATAGCTTCTGTGAGTTTCTCGATTAGTCTCTTCAGAACATTGCAGTCCCCCTTCGACCTGTTTTCCACCATCTTGAAAAATGGCACTCTTTTCATATTTAATTACACTACAAGTCAGGTGTGTAATATGGAGGATTGGGGCCAATTTAGACAAATGTTGAGGTTATTCATGGACAATAAGAGTCTAATAAAACTGAAAAACTCATGTTCAATAATCGTTTTAGAAACATCAAAATCAAGAACACAAGCATTACATGTATAAACCACCATCTTTTCATCCTACAGATACCTTTCAAACTCACTTGTAACCATTGAATCACAACAATTGACAAACATAAGAGCAATTGTGAAAACACCCATGTGAGTGCCCTGATTTCAAAGAGCAATTAGTTGATGCTGAGCCAAAAATATTAATATGAGCTCCAAACACCTCAAAATCAAAATCCTTGCAATACAAACACTTTCCCATTACTTCTCATGCNACGGGCACAGCTGAAAAGTATGCAGTACATCGAAGCTAGTGGAATTTGTCTGGCTTGGAAGTAAGCCTGCTCCAGAAGAAGTCCTCGAACTAATGTCTTGCACATGCAAAAGAGTTTGCTCTGTGGAAACATGCTCTTGTTTGAGAGCTGGACTCAAATGCACTGACATGTGTACTTTGCAATGTGAGAACATGGTGTTAGATAACGTTCTTGAGAATGAAAATCCAGATGGAAGTGATGACAAAGATGCTGATGATTGACTACATTAATCACAGCTTAAATCAGCCAGTAAAGGTTTCGAAACATTTATGTTTTGCTTATTCATGTTAACCTCTGAATACTTCGGTGACTTCAGTTCCCACTTTCTTTCCAGTTCTAATCCTGTCTGTCTGAAACATAAGGATGCTAATCTGCATAGTCTAGAACCATGACAACTCATAAAGTGATCAAACAAACGAAAGAATTTGTAAGTATTGTGCTTTAAAAACCTCACTTGTAAATTAAAACTAAATAGAAAGTGGAGTAAAAAAGTTTTATTGAAAGGTCATCCTGCCTGTGGACAAGAAAAGTAAGGAAAACTAAAAAATTTTGCATAAGCTCTGAAAAAATGACGTCATTCATGATGTCATATCGTTATTGTTCCAATAATGACAAGAACATGAAATATACATATGGATTCCCTTAAATACATCCTTCATTAATGTTTTAACCTGCTTTGGGTATAATTTTATGAACCTGCATACTCTACAAGAAAATCTCATTTAACACAAAATGGCAGCTATTGGTTGAGTTGAATGAGCACATTTCAAACATGACTTTTAGAATGAAGGCTACCGTTATTGTGTGATGCATTATATATATACTTAGTATTTTAACCAGTTGTAAATAATTAATGTCTTAATTTTTTTTATTATCAGGAGATAAACTAGAAAGGGATAACCTCTTTTATCTCCTTTTCACTTTCCTGTGGATTTGTGAATAAACAGTCATTATTTTATTATTATTTATTTTAGGTAAGTAGAGCCTTAGTCGTTCAATTTCTTTGATATACTTATCAATACAAGTTTAAGGAAGTACGTCAAGGAACCAGAATAGCGAACTTCACCAATCGACATCCTTTATAACACAAGTTTCACCAACAGGCAAAAGTAAAAAACACAAAGGATGCAAATGGCCTATGAGATCCTGGAGGGGAGGATATCATGAGTATAAATTCCTTTAATGTTGAGCAGGGCACAAGGACATAGTACAATCTATTGGTATGTAAAGTCGAAATGGCATTATTTGTTTACATGTACATTATAAATCAACATGTCACGATATAACGTAACAAGCTCAAATCTTATGTTACAGCTTTACGAGTCTTGCACAATTTGGAAACACAGTACTGTTTTGCCCACAGGGTGATGCAAGGTATACAGCTACATGCAGTGTGCAGAGATCAGTGATAACCTTAGCCAATGCAATACCTCAATGATTAGTAGATTTAAATTTTGAATTTCTTACCATGGAAAACTGACTCATACTGAATTTGCTGCAATGACAGTAAAACCCAAAGAAAGCTACCAGCAGGGTGCAAAGATGAAGCTCAGACATCGCTCAAAATTAAAGATCAGAAATGACAAATTGTAGCAAGGGAAAAGCTGTGGGCATAGGAAAA